GTTTCTCTTATATGTGAAATATTAAAAATAAAACAAAACAGCTCATAGAAAAACGGATCAGACGTGTGGTTATCGTAGGCGGAAGTTGGGGGGAGGTGGTAAAAAGGTATATATTTCCGGTTACAAGATAATTTTAGTACTAGGAATGTAGTGTCCACCATAACTATAGCAAACCACTGCTGAATGACATAGAGGAAAGTTGTTTAGAGTTAATGTTTCCATCACAAGGAGAAATTATTCCCCCTCTTTTTTTCTAAAGATTTATTTAATTATGCATACAGAACTGGGGTACAGGCCAGTGGCACAGGTGCGGTGAGAGGATTCACCGGAGACAGAGCGGGGAGCAGCTAAACGAAGTACACTGCTGAGGGGAGTAGCAGGCTGGTCAGGAGAGGTCTGCCACGCCATGTGGGTCACACCCTGGGCAGGGATGGAATTCATGCTGAAGTGGCTTTATCTTAGTGCTGTGCTTTAACCCACTGTGCCACCAGGGCGGGCCCTATTTGCTCTTTTAAAAAAAGGTTTGTTTATGCATACAAGAAGTGGGGTGTAGGCCATAGGTGTCAGGGGTGAAAGGATTCACCTGACAGTGGGGAGCGGAACAGGCAGCTTTACTGAAATAAACTGCTGAGGGGCAGAGGGTGAGAGAGGAGAGGTCTGCTGAGCCTGTGGCTTAGCTCCCTGGCTGGGAATTGAATTCGTGCAGATGTCTTCCCTTTTTTTCTAAAGATTTATTTATATATGCATACTGGATACAGGCTACAGGAGCAGGGGTTGAAATGATTCACCAAAGTCAGAGTGGGGAACAGAACAGGCAGATTCACTGAAATACAGAGCTGAGGAGAGGCAGGAGAGGTCTGCCTCTCCTTGTGGGTCAGCTCTGGCCAGGGACCCAACTCATGCTGCAGTGGCTGTAGACAGCTTCATAGTGCTGTGTTTTAATCCGTTGTACCACCAGGGAAGGCCCTTCTTCTTCTTCTTCTTTTTTTTTTTTTAATAGTATCTCTGAGTTGATGGATGTTAGCTGAACCAGTTTTAATTACTTCATAATATAGGTAAACTAAACCCCTATGCTGCCCCCTTCATACTTTAAACTTGTAGATATATGTAAATTGTATTTTTTGTAAGTTTTCTCCTTTTATTTCTTTTCTAAAGATTTAAAAAATTGTGTGTGTGTGTCTGTAGAAGAACTGGGGTGTAGGCCAGAGGTGCAGGGGGTGAGAGGATTCACCAGAGACAGAGCCGGAAGCAGAACTGGTGGATCTACTGAAATACACTGAGGGGAGCAGTGGGCAGGAGAGACAGGAGAGGTCTGCTGTGCCATGTGGGTCAGCTCCCTGGCCGGGGATCAAACTCAGGCCATAGCAGTATTAGCACTGAGTCTTTTTTTTTTTTTAAAGTAAAAAATGATGGACAGAATTTTACTAACAAATATAAACAAAATAATAGGATGGCAGATAATTCAGTTTTGATAAAAAAAAGTGAGACAAGATGTAGTGTGTGCAAAAGGGAAAACCGTTCTATATTAAATAAATTGCAATTAATAATGAACATTATAGTTGCTTTTATATGACAAGTAATATAGCATCAATGTTTAAGCCAAGCTCTCACGATGTACCACTTTTATTCCTGGAAGATTCCAATTAAGGCAAATGCTTCTGGTAGGAAGGGTTTTAAGAATGTTCAGAGACTTAATATAGATGATATATGTGAATTCTTAGCACAGGTATTAGCACTGAGTCTTAACCCCAAAACCAACAGGCAGGCCTGGTATATGTTAATTCATTTTTTAAAATGTCACTTTTTAATTTTTATTTATTAAATTTGCTTATTTTCTTACACCACTATTTATTCTGGACACTATTTGCTTTCTTTCCCCAGGTGGTACCCCATAGTTCCCCCACCACCCTAGCACCCACAAACATCAGCCATAGTCCCTTGTGTTCTTCCCACTTTAACCTCTGCTCCCCCTCCCTCCATTTGCCTCAGATCTTCAGTCAGGTCTATTTCTTTTAAAACCAGGACAAATTGTAAACATTACTTTGGAATAAAGGGATTTGGAGAGAAGAATGAGTTATATAGCAAAGTGACTAACATTTCAATGGGGATCAACCTCTTCTTCATTCTCAACTTGATTTGCAAGAACTCCTAATATCTAAAACCAAATTGCATCAAAATGAAAATGCTCATTTTAAAATAGTTACTCCCTAAGTATAAAGGACCAAGGGAGATAATAGTAACAATGAACAACTACATACCAGAGACATTTTACAGGGGTGGAGGAGTGGGGAATGGGATAAAAAATGGGGGTGGGGGGGCAAAGTACACTGGACTATGGTGACGGCACATGGGTGAACTGGTGCTGGGAAGCCCACGGGGATGACAACTGAGATGGAAAATGGCACAAAAGGATGTAAAAATAAACTATTATATTATTAAGGAAAAAAATCTAAAAAAAAAAGTTACTCCCTAAAGTAACAGAGAGGGGCTGATGATATACTTCTTTGAAGGATAACCACTTCTTAAAATGTATTTTTATAAACCAGCAACATCTACTGCTCAGACTATTCCCATCTAAAAATAAAATTTATATTGAGGCAACCTTGATTTATAACACTGTACACGATGGTAGCTGTCCACACCTCTTTACATTAAGGTGTCACCACACCTACCACCAAGACCGCCAAAGCACCAATACCCCTCCCTCCACCCTCCGTTGCTGCAGGATCTATTTAATGGGAAAACTCCATGTTCCTTTCCAACGAAGGGCAGCCCCGATAGGAGGAAGTGGGAGACACATAGGCAAAGGAGGGATGGTCAATAAACCAGATTTATGGTTTTGGGGTTTTTTCTTGTCATTAAATAAAAACTTAAGCAAGTTAATTTTAAAGCTGTAAAAACTTTATTAAAATTGATGAACTGCACAACATCGCATTTAGTAAGCAGAAATGCACCACGACACTGCAAACAATAGGTGGTGCAGCCAACTTTTCTGCGACCAGTCCGGACAGTCCGGCAGTTTTAAACTGCAGCAGGTGGCACGGTGGTGAAACTGTTCTAAGAGCTGGTTCGAAGTTTCTCAGAGACTTCATTTGGATCTGTCCGTTTTTTCTTTAAACAGTTCATCAAAACAGTTCTAACGGAGAAGAAAACGAATCTGGTGTTTCGCTGTATCTTCTTTCACAAACAACAGCGCACTTGGTAAAACTACAGTCCACCAGCAGACTATCTAAAAGGAACAAACGGGGGCAAGGAACAGTCTCAAGCAAACGCAGCCCCAAAGATTGAGCGCGGGCGGGCCCGAGCCCGGGCCCGGGCCGCTTAGTAGAAGCAGACGGTGTGCAGGAAATCCCTGCCGCTCTTCTCCTCAAACTCCTGCAGCACCTCGTCGATGTCGTTCTCCATGTCATCCATGAGCTGGATGCACTGGCAGAGCTCGCAGAGGAGGAAGGCGCCCAGGGTGGCCTCTTCCAGGTTGTCGGGGATATCCACGTTGATGACGTGTACCGGCTGGAAGGTGACCTGCTCTCGGGAGTTGAGGTCTTCTAGCACCTGGTCGTACACTCTCTCGTCACAGGTGAGGATCAGATCAAACGGATCCTTACAATTCTGGAATCTCTCCGGGCGGGGCTTGATCCGCTTGTTGCGGTCAAGCATGTGCAGAATGCCATTCTGGGTGTAGAGCGCCTGATCTTTGCGCACGAGATCGTTGTACATCTGCTCATAGGTGGTTTTGAAATCGTAGACGTTCGGCTTGTCAGGGGCCGGCCCAGGAAGCTTGACGTGGCTGCCGGTCCCGAAGGAGCGGACGCTGAAGCCCCGCTTGCTGAGGATGTTGTGCGCCTCCATGCTGCGGTTCTGGTTGCTGGAGCACACGACGGCCAGGCGCAGCGGGTAGGTCGGCATGGCGGCACCCAGGGCCCTGGGGCCTGGAAATCTGGATCCCTTAAAGTCAGCCGTCTTGCCTCAGCGAGTTTAAGATGGCGACTAGGGCGTCCGGAAGTTGCAGTCTCCCCAAAACGTTGCTTCCGGCGACGTGTGCGCAGAGGGGGCGTGGCTTTCACGTCTCCACGCATCTTCACGCACACGCAGGTCACCATCCGGGCGCCTGGCGGGGTGGGGGGGGGTCGGGTCAGTTACCGCCATGCCCCCCAGTCCAAGCTGCCGTCTGGGCACGCTACGTCCTCGTTTTCATTTGATGCAAGTTCTATGAGGGGCAGGTTGTGAGAACTTCCATTCCTCTGCGTGCCTGTACTTCCCCACCAGTCACTCCTGCTTCTTCTGCCACAGACTTTCTGGTCGCACCATCAACCCCACACACTTGACGGCTAACCTTGCCGCCGCTTCCCTTGAAGAAATTTGCTCTTGACATCATCAGTTTCCATGTAGGCTCCTCTCATCACACCTGGATTAACCTAACCTTGTGGTCAGCAGCGGTTAATCTAAACAAATTAACCGACTAATTCCACTGTCACGCCATGCCACTTCCTTGCTTAAAAATAACCAGTATTTGGCCCTCCTTGGTGGCGCAGCGGGTTAAAGCACAGCACAAAGAAGCTTAAACCACTTCCGCATGAGTTTGATCCCCGCCTGCCCCGGAGGTGACCACATGGCGTGGCAGACCTCTCCTGACCCGCCCGCTGCTCCCCTCAGCAGTGTACTTCGTCGATCTGCCTGTTCTGCACCCCACTCTGTCCCTGGTGAATCCTCTCACCCTCCGCATCTCTGGCCTGTACCCCTGTTCTGTACGAATAAATAAAAAAAAATTAAAAAAAAAAAACAACCAGTATTTGGACCCTCCCTGGTGGCGCAACGGGTTAAAGCACAGCATTAAGAAGCTAAAGTCACTTCAGCATGAGACCAATCCCCACCCGGGAGGTGACCCACCTGGGGCGGCAGACCTCTCCTGACCCGCCCGCTGCTCCCCTCAGCAGTGTACTTCTCAGTAGACCTGCTCTGCTCCCTACTGTCTCTGGTGAATCCTCTCACCACCCCTGCACCTCTGGCTTGTACTCCAGTTCTATGTGCATAAATAAATAACCTTTAATAAAAAAACCAGTGTTTAATGCACCTGCCTCCCATGGTGAACATTCTCCCTGCCTCTTCTCAGGACACATTCTGCATTCTTGCCACTTTGTTTTTCAGCCATCTTTGCATCAACTGTGTTTGCACATTCTTCTGGAATGCCTTTCCTGCTTCTGGAATGCCTTTACCTACCTGGAAAATCCTTCATCCTAAAGTACACCCCAAAAACGTCCTCTCCTTAGCGAAATCATCATAGACTCCTAAAAGCTGTGCATGCCAAACCCCCTTCATGGTCCCACAGTACTTTTAAAACCCCTTTCAAATCATACTAGCTTTAAATCCTAATTTCGTGTGTGTTTCTCTCAAACTATGAGCCCTAAGAGAACAGGAATGACATGAGCATCATTGACACAGTGCAAAGCCTAGGGCGCGGTAGGCAAATGCAGAACAAATACATAAATCAACAAATGACAAAATATGTGCATGCTATTAGGGGACCAAAAAAGTAAAATGTCCTTTTATTGCCTGAATATCCCTTTGCTCTGTAGTCCATGTTTATCATTACTGTCTGACTATTCGATACTACTACTGATACAGAAGTCATTTTTAAAATCACCAAGCAGAGGAAGCACAAATTCAACACAAACAAAATAATTTCCTAGCAAAACTATAATTACATGCTCTATTTTCTTTAGCAATTACAGAATCTACACGTACAGTTTAATATTAATAGAAAATGCAAATATACTAGAAGGAAACATGCATTAAAAAGAGAAGGGACTTTTTTCATACACCCAAAAAGGCCAGTGATGATCCAGCTTCTGGGTAGACAGCCGAAGGAATTGATAACACATGTAAACATCCCTGTGCATAGTAGCATTTTTCACAATAGCCAAAAGTGTTAGCCATTCAAGTGACTGCCAAGTTAAAAAAAAAATAAAGTGATCTGTGCATACAGTGAATATTATTTGGCCTTAGGAAGGAAGGAAATCTGGATAGGGGCACAACATCATGAACTTTGAGGGTTATACTAACTGAAATCAGCTAGTCACAGAACAACAGATACTGTATGATTCTACCAGTAGTCAAATGCATAGAAAGTAAAACGATCACTATCACAGCCTGGCAGGGAGGTACAGGTGGGAAGGTGCAGGGAAAGAAATTGGGACATACTGTTTAATGGGCAGAGAGTTTTAGTTTGCAGTATGGAGAAGAGTTCTGGAGACGGAGGAGCCAACGGAGTCAGTGTATTGTGGCCTGTGCTGATGTACAACTGTCTCTTTCACTCCGGGTGAGACCACCAGGCTGGCTCTCACCTGACTTAGCTGAAGAATCTTCAAATTCCACGAGGAAGGAATACCTGTTAGTCCAGACATGGAGGCAGGTGGTTTGGTCATAAGAGATGGTGAGTGGTTTTAAGCCAGGATCACAGACACTGTCCCTTCACCGGATGGGTGACTTGGTGATTGGCCCCCGGAACCAGGTCCATGATCCCCCAAAGTAGGTGCACTGGGAGAAAGCACAGTGGGGTGTCATCATGAGGTCGTCTATCTAGGCTCACATACCCGGACCTTGCAATTGTGGGTCTGTTGCAGCTCAGGAGTCTGAAAGTCTTAGGAGTTGGCCAGTTGGGGACGTCATCACTGACCAACACAGAGGACAAGGCAGGTCTTGCCCACTGAATTCACACGTACAGGGTGGGCCTACGAGGGCCGTGGCTTCACGCAGCACCATGCTATTCCAAGCTGTCCTAAAGAGAAACATTGGTTTTCCTTCAAAAAGGGGATCATGAGCATAAGAATCAATAGACTAATAACAAATCCATGCCATTTCTACTTTAGACGATATTCTTTACATTTCACTTAGCTAAGAATTAACATTTTAAAATTTACTTTCCTATGGTCCAAGACTTTATGCCTAAATATTTTTGATGTGGCACTTAGGATAATTTCCACTAACTGAGACATAAGTGAGACTGATTTCATTTTGATCATGGATAGTAAAAGGGTTTTATTTATAGTATTGGTATTACAAATCCCCAAGGTTAGTACCATCTGCTATTTGAGAGAACAGCAAACAGCAAAAATACTGAGTTGCCAGCCAATGATTTCTTGGAGATTAGCTTGGGGGGAGGGGAGTGAAGGCAGAGCACAGGGCCCCAGTGAAATGCTGCTTTCTCCCACTCCATTTACTCCTCATTCTGCTTTACTCAGTTTTAAAAATGGTCACACTGAAACATGTGAGGGCGCTACTGCATGGAGGAAGACGATGAGGACAGGGGAGAAGCAGTTGCCAGGGCTGAGTCCTCACTGCACAGTAGTCCTTGAGCCTTCCCATGCTGTGTTCTCTAACCCTCAACGATCCTGGGCCATTCTTGGCGACAGTGTATACTGGGCATCCCACTGGGGTAGTGGGCTTCCAGAACTGATGAGTACTGCCTCTATGACAAAACAGATAAAGGACCAATATTCTGAACAAGACATGCTCAGTGGCCCTGGGGCACCAAGACCATGATATTCTCCTGGGTGAGACAGGTGTTCTATTGTCAAACCAAAGCAAATGGTGACTCCTATCTGTTTCTCCTGGCAGCTTAACAAAGAGCAGGTCATGATGTGGCAAACTAATCAAGGCAAGAAGACCCACTTCTGCAGGCCACTACTTTTTTGCTTATTCCCCCACCTTTGGGCAAAAGTAAAAGCAGTGAACTCTCTGAAAGATACAAACCTAATGGGTTTTAGAGCATTAATATTCAAGGAAAACCTCCACACTCACACAAAACGTTAGTAAATAAATGTGACTAGTTTTTTCCCTTCCATTTTAAGCCTTAGAAGGCAAAGTGCCAGGGTGAAAACAACCAGTCCAGGTAGGATGTGGGCTGCTGGTAGGGCCCACACCCAGCAGCCACATATCATGACTCAGGCTGACTCATTTTAGTGAGAACACAGTAACACTGGAGAAAATAAAATCAAGGTATAATACAAATATATTTGTGGGGCAGCTTCAAGGCAATGCTGTTACCAGATTAGCATTACTAATAACCTCCTTTTCTTATGTGCAGACAGGGCCAAAGAGAATAAGCCCAAGGAGGAAGAGTTGAGAAACCTAAAATCCTAAAGCCAGCCACAATTTGAGTACTCTGTGTTAACTCCTTTGACCAGTGGGAAATACATAAAGTTCACCACAGCCAGCTGAATGAACTCATCCCGCTACCAACAACTGTCTCCTCTCCTCTCCTTTCAGTGGTTCTCTGCCAGGATTATTTTGGTCATGTAGGAGTTATCTTGAGAAGTCTAGGGGTTCATCCAACATCTACCGAGCAAGTACAGCCTCTGACCTACCCCATGTGAACAGAGAAAGCCCCAGTGAAGAACCCTGTGCCAATGGGAAGGGTTAGTAACTGATACTTCAGAAGGGGGATAAGATTTTCAGGGAAGGTCAGTGCGTGCTCAGGAGGCTGGTCAGCTAAAAGCAACTCTGCAGTTTTAGTGAAGCATGGAGCTACTGATCTGCTTACAAATGCTGTGCAAATTCCAGAACATTCCAGTTCATAGAAATAATGCAGTAGATCAACCTTGGTAAACAAAAAACAAAGACCGTGTTCCAGAGCATCTGAAGCTGGACGTCTCCCTTGTCCATTTCTGCGTGACATCATTTCGACAAGTTAAAACTGATCAAGAAAAGAACCTGTCAAACTTCACTGTGATCATTTCACACGTGTACCAAAGGATCACAATGCACTCCTCAGACTTACACAATGTCACAAATCAATGATATCTCATTAAAGCTGGAAAAGAGAACCTGCCACATTCAGACACAAGTACCTATTCTCCCAGTTAAGGTCAATAATCCCACTCTGCTATGCCATGGACACCACAGTCACAAACACTTAACATACCCGACTGCTATGAAAAGTCCACAGTGTACTCACAGGCTCAGTCCGGTCACTGGCATGGCGCTCAGGATTGGGAATCTCCTCCATGGTGACATGCCTGGATCCTCTTGAAATGACCCTCAGGCTCTCTGTCACCTTCACCTGTAGCTTGAAATTTTGGTCAGTTCCCAAGTAACTTGAAGGAAGCTAATCACCCAGAGGCAGAAAAAGGACAGAGGAAAGCCAAACAACAGAGATTAAGATGGTGCGGTCCCATAAACAGGACAGTAACATTAAAATCATTAGTGCATATTTGGAAGGGGGGAGCAGGAGTCGTCATAGCTTAGCCACTATAGCACTTCAGACTCATTCGTCAGCCCCTGGATGAGACTCTTACTTCACTGCCATGTACTATGAACCATGAGGGACAGACAGGAAGTTCACAATCCCATAGGGGCTCCTTATCTCCAGGCCTACATCTCTATCTGGGCCTTTAAGCCAGTGTCCTGATAGGTAATGAAGGACCACAGCCTGGGGGGCTTAAGGAACAGAAACGCATGGTTTCAGTTCTGAAGGCTGTGGATGGCAGAGACCAGGCAGTGGCAGGATATCCTCCTGTGTCAATCTGCCTAAACAGATACTCAGGGGATACAGTGGAGGGTGGGGCTGGCTGGGATTGGAGATTAATTCAGGGAACATAATCTATGAAGCCAGAAGGCTTTCAGAGGTCATTGCATGTGCATGGGATGAAGCATGGAGTTTCTGATGACCATCACACAGCATGGACCGCAGTGGAGCCGGCAAAGTCAATGACTAGAGGATCCTTCCAACCGTTATTCACTCTATCACTCTGATTCATTCATCAAGATATCAACCAAATATCTAGTAAGTGCCAGATACTGTTCTAAACTCATCAGGAAACAAAACAAAGTCCCTATCCTTGCGGAGCTTACACTGCAGTAGGAGAGAGCCAATGAAAAACAACCATATAAATGGGCAAATTGTGGCAAAAATGAGAATATTTTCAGGGAAAAGTAGAGCAGCTTTCAGTGCTCTATTCAATTTCCTATCAGTATTTGACCTTGGATTTTACTGAAAGGCTCTTCACTTGTTTTGCAGACTTAAGAATGCATAAAGACAGGATTCTAAAAAGCTTTTAAAATCACTCATAAACCATGTATTTATTAAATGCCTTTTTGAATTACGATTGAATGAACTATTTATATGTATGCAAAACAATTAAAAAAAAAACACCCCACCCTCTAAAGGTTACAATTACATTGACCATCCCTTCAATTCCTCATCTGGTGAAATGGAAAGGAATCCAGCTTTTGCAATTCTTTGAAATTTAAATGAAGAGGTTATCAGTGTCTTGAACTTCTAAAGCAACTAACTGCCCCAGCAGCCAATGAAAGGAAATGCTTTTCACCCTCTAAGGCTCCCTGATATTCATAGTCAATGAAAATCCCCCAATTCCTATTGTGTTTCAACTGAGTGGGAGCAGCATTTTGTCTGGCCCCAGGGACCCTAGGGGAGATAGTGTAGTCACAGGAATGGCACTCTTGCTATTTTTGGTATTTGGGTAACTTTCATTCCAGGTACTGTACTTACAATCTGAGTAAAGGAAAAAGGTTTTAGTACATGGAAAGGTTTTCATTCCCAAACAGTCAAGAACAGTGCAGTTCTTTGTGCAGGGTGAACTCGGGATCCGTTGTGGTCTCCAATAGAGGCAGAGAACATTATCAGTTTTGAGGAACTTGCAATGGATAGTTCATGGGTGTCCTCATCTTTGCATTGCTCACCAGAGATTTCTAACTTCTCTCCATATTGCCAGCAAGGCTTTTCAACAGAAATGGAGATAGCCAGATTGTCAACAAAGGAAGAAGGGGAAGCAAAAGCAAGATGGTTATCAGTGACTGGGAGAGAGTGAATTCTACCCCAATTAGGCTATACACATTTGTTATCGTTCCGTATTTGTCACCTCAGAAACAATAAAAGGGGTAATTACACCAATAACGAGTTTTTAGCAGCCCCCCAGGGACAACTTGTAACTCAGGCTACAAGAAATCGTAGTCACCGACTTTTGAATTTTGCAGTCCTTAATCCCCCCCCCCCAGCTCCAGGGCAGGATAAAAAAAAAGGATCAAAGAAACTAAGGAGTAGAAAAGATTCGGGTTTATATGCATGGCACAGTTATGCCGTCGCTTCCCAACTGTGGGGCTGGCCATCAATCTGTCCACAGCCCCTAGGAAAGAACAATGCAAGTCTGAATGAGTGTACCAAGCTTGCTGTACCTCGGTTTCTGGACTGGACTGAACCTTCAAGGTGCGTAGCTGTCTGACGACCCTGATAGTGGAGGAGTAGGGTGAGAGCCGGGAAGGCGTGATTCCCTACCTCCTCCAGAAACGTCCGCCGGACCGTGGCCATTCGCGGGGCCGAATGTCTCAGCTCCGGAACTCAACGCAACGCGCTCTCGCGCACGGGGGTGGAGGGGGGAGTCCCTCTCCTTTCTGGTAGGCTAGGTCCCTTCTCTGTCCACACTCCACAAAGCCGCCAGACCGTGCCCGATTGTTTCCCTAAAAGCAAATGCCCATTTTGGCAACCGAACACGAGTCTCATGTGCGCGGCCATATTGTCCACGCCCCTTACGCATTGCCACACCCCTCACGCCGGGGTACGTCACGCTCTGATTCCCGTCACGCCCCAGTCCGTCCAGCTCGCGTCCCTGTAAGCCCCGAGTTCCGCCTCGGCCACGCTCCCCGCGCCCGAGCCTGCATCTGTTCTCTATCCACTCAGGAGCCCGGGATCGCAGCTCCCCGCCCTGGCTGCACCTCCGCTGCCTCCGGATCGCCCTCTGCAGCCCGGCGCCGACACGCCCACTTGGCCCCACGCCGCCCCTGCCTCCTCGGAATTGGACCGTCTTTGCCCTGCCCCCGAGCGCCGCACAGCAACAGCCACTCGGCGCCGCTTCCCCGCGAGCACGGCCTGACCCCGCGCGCCGCCTCCCTCACGCCCTCTCTGTCCGTGCGTGCGTCCCATGCGCTGCTCTGCGGCCCCGCCTTCCCTCCCCGGCGCGGCCCCGAGGCCCCGCCCAGTTTGCGCCTCACGGGTGCCGTGGCTGCTCCCCGTAGTGCCCCCAGTGGCCACCTTTCTGGCGTCCCTCTCGGGCCCCGCTGGCCCGGCTTCCTCACGCTAATTCGCCCACGCTCGGCCAGGGCCAGCCCTCCCGCAAACCCGAGCGGAGCAGACCCGACCCCTCTGCCCACGCCCCGCCCCGGAGGCCGCCAGCCCTGCTTCCCACGGGCCCGCCCGCCCCCGGCGCGGCCTCCTGCGCCCACGCCCCTCGGCCTGGCCAATTCCGGCGGCCCTGCCGTCGCGCGGCCCCGCCTCGGCTCCCGGACCGGGCGGCGCCGGCCGGGCGGCTTCCCAGGCCACCCACTTCCCGCTTCCCCGCAGCGAGACGCGTCCCGCGCGCCCCCTGCTGGCGGAGCCTGGTGCTGGGCGCAGAGCAGCCAGGCCGCGTTGCCGGCGTGGAGCCCGCCTGCAGGGCCTCGGCCGACAGCCGCGCCCGACGCAGTGGCTCGAACACAAAGGCGACGGGACCCAGTGGGAGCCGAGGGGACTGTGTTCCCACTGACCCTCAGCCGACCGTGCACGCTCGGCCCAACACGCAGTAAGCACCCACCCTGCTCACCTCCGCCGACACCCCCAGGCGTCTGGCGACCCCTCCCCCCCAGGGCTTGTGGAGGCACACACGCACCCCGTTGCTTGCAGCCCCAGCCGAGGTTACTCCTTACATTCCCCATTTGCAATTCCGTGGCCACAAGACCACGCGATGAGGTTCCCACCCGCTCCCCCGCCCCCGTCAGAAATCTGAATGGTCGCCCCTAGCTGGGCAGGTCGCGGGCGCCTCTGGTCACACTGGTCACTGGTGTTTGCGAAGCACGTGCTCAGTGACAAGATAAACCTCCAGGGTTGTGCAACCCGCAGCTGGATGGAACAGGGGTTGGTGGGAAGGTCAGGGAAGGGGTGAGGGGATGGATGACAGGTGGGCAAGGGGGTGCTGGTCTCCATCCCATTGGAAGGAATATTTTGGGGCGCAATCACAGGAAGCTATTTTCATAGTATTCACTGCAGCGCCTTCCACAGTTGTTTTCTCAATAAATATGCATCGAGGGTACATATGCCTCCCTGGCGGCACAATGGGTTAAAGCACTGTGAAGCCCTTGGTAGCCTCTGCAGCACAAGTTCAATCCCCAGGGAGGGAGTGACCCACAGGAGAAGCAAACCTCTCCTGTCTCCCCACTGCCCCCCTCAGCAGTGTACATTAGTGGATCTGCTTGTTCTGCTCCCCACTCTGCCTCCAGTAAATCCTCTCGCCCCCCTCCCCCCACATCTGGCCTGTACCTCTGCTTTTCTGTGCATAAATAAATAAATCTTAAAAAAATATGCATGGAAAGTAAACTCTTTATAAAGGGCAGCAGTTTCTCCCTTGGTGGCCGAGGTCTGCCCCAGCGATCCTGCATTAGTTTCCTTCAACTTCCACTTGCCCTTGAAGGCAGTGGGAACAGTCAAAATATCAAGCTAGATGGGACATAGAAAAACAACAGTTTTCTTTAAAAAAAAAAAAAGATTTAGTTTTTAAATTTATTTATGCATACCAGAACTGGGGTGTAAGCCACAGGTACTGGGGGTGAAAAGACTCACCAGAGAGAGTGAAGACCACAACACACTAATGTCCTGAAATCCACTGCTGAGGGGAACAGGGGGCCAGACAGGAGAGGTCTGCTGTGCCATGTGGGTCAGCTCCCTGGCCGGCTGGAATTCCTGCTGCAGTGGCTGCTGATAGCTTCATAGTGCTGAGACTTTAACCCCTGCACCTCAGAGGCCTGGAAGAGAACAATTTTCAACAGTACATTTTTAATGAGTTCAACCTGACCTTAAGAAGTCTGCCTCATGTCTGGAAAATGTTTCAAGTGCCAGTCATTTTGTCCCTGAAAAAAAAAAAAAAAAAACCATAGGAAATGGGCCCAAACGTGGCTGGCTATGTTACTTCATTGTCATTCATGTCATTATTTCTACCTCATGATTTTCCACCAATGATTTGAGATAGCTTTACAAGATGTAGACAACACCACCCAAAACAAGTACCTGGTGGAACCAGGGGGGAACTTCATGAACTGCAGGAAAGGCAGTTAATGATAGAAATGAAGGCTCAAGTGCTTCCCACTGGGGCCTGAGATGTCGAAGGTGGGCCACAGATCTGACGCTTAGCTTCTGAGTGCACAGAGGGATTACACAGAGGACAACAGTCATTTTAAGAATGCCCAGTTTTTGTAACAAAAACCGGTCAGGATTTTTGTCTTTGAGAAACATAGTTTTTCTTGATTTTTCTTCCCGGAGAAATCCTAACTCCTCATGATGATGCTGGTAACTCAGCAGGAACCAAGTAGCAGGAACCAAGTAGTGTCCTCAGGCGATTCCTGCAGACCCCTCAATAGAAGCTTGCTCTGGTCATAAACAGTGCCCTGAAGCAGGTGTCCTGTTTAGCTGAGATCCCAGGTTCTCAGTGAGCTGGCTTTACTCAGGGCAGCTTTTGATGATCATCCCACAGGGTAGCAAGTTTCAACCGGTCTATCAGTTGGTTCAATAACTAACTGTGTTGGGAAGTTTTGTGGCTGAGTCCATGCTCAGAAAGGAAAAAGTTTTGTGGTCAACTAGCATGGCAGGATGGGTGAGTGGCTGGGAACAAGAACCTGTCACGTATCTCTGATTCAGAGGAACAGAGGTCTTGCGTGCAGGTCTTTTAGGCAGTTCCCCCAAACCACCCTTCTTACTATAAGGCTTTTGATGATGTTCAGCTAGTAGAAGGGTCAAGGCCATTGTTGCTGGTCAAAACTGGAGAGCAGAAACTGGTATGTTGATTTCATTCATGTGCTTTGTCTATGCACCAGGAGGAGGGCAAGGTTCTGTGATGAAAAACAGAGCAGCTAATCTAAAAGGCAGACAGAAGGACCTGCCCTCTCCCTCCAGAGGCAAGCAAAAGAAGTAAGTCCAGGCTGGGTTCTAAGTCAGTAGCAGCGCTAACTGGCAGCCAAATAGGAGATGGAGGATGATTGAGCACAGTTGCAGTAATTTTAGCTGAGAAATACATCTTACCACAACCATATGAAAGAACCATATTAAGATATAGTGCCCAGGCAGCAGTGCAAAGAGTTAACCCTGGAGAACAAATGCAGGACGGCTCATCAGGATGAGACCCAGAGACAGGCACACATACATTCTGTTAAATTCCTACCTTAGGAATATAAAGTTGGCAGAATTATACACTCACTTTGTCTGAATTAATCTTTATTCCTGAACAGTAGTAATTAACTTTTTCTGAACTAGAAAAATGTTAGTCTGTAAAAAATAAGACAAAGTTCATAATGGTGATGGCTGTTGATTAACCTGCAAAATTTGATGAGCCTTCAAATGTCCTGGCTTCAAATATTTTTCTCACCTTAAAAGGGCATAAGTTATGGGAGTGGAGAAAAAAATATTCCAAAGCACAGGGTTCCTTGTTTATTCAAGATACTGGAGGTTGTTTTTCTTTGCCTAGGAATGTCCAAAAATGTTTGCAGTGTACCTCACAATATTTCATTTTCACAGTCTTGAGCTGCTTAAAATAACAGGTTATGAGTCCAATGCTGATTTATTAAAAATTCAAATATTTATGGGCCATGAAAAATGCAAAATTGAACGCAAAAAGTCCCTGCCCTTCAGGGACTGACATTTGTAGCACACAAAGGTACATCATGTTGGCAAGAACTCACACGTCCAAGTGTGAGCTGAATGCCACAGGGACCAAGGAGAAGGAGAATGAAAAATCAGTGGATAAAATACAAATCTTTAACAAACGAAAAGGAAGGTTTCTTAAAGGAAGTGGTCCAGAGTTGGGAGCAGGGCTAAGACATGCTCAAATTGAGTAGCTGAGCGGAGCCCACAGGCAGGCCTGAGGCAGGAGAGGGCCCTAGGATCACTGGTGAGCGGCTCAGGGGAAGCCTGGAGGAGGCCTCAGAACAGATGCTTCTGAGAAGCCTCAGCTGGGTTCAGGTCTTCCTGGTCTAGGAGCGGGGGTCCCTGACATTGTACCTGGGGTGCTGACTGAGATGGAAATGGGGGGATGCCGGCTGTGTGCCTGATAAGGAGCAGCAGCACTGTGGGAGGTGGAAACAGCATCCATGGCTGTCTATGGGCTGCGGATGTGCCTGAACTTGGTGTTCTTGGGCTGCTGGTGCTGCCAGTCCGTGTGTGACTGGATTCCAACAGCCAGGCAGCTTTTCTTCTAGCCATCTTTAAAAAAGGAGAAATGAGTTTATTTTAAATAATAATTTCAGAATCTAGTGATGTTAAAATCTTATAGCATGCTTGGTTTTATACACACACACACACACACACACACACACACAGGGGTCCATCTTATCTGCTATTCTTTTGTGAGCTATTTGTATTAAGCCAAAGATAAGGAGAAAAAAAGTATCAGATAAAGGTCTAAATGATCTTTCTAACCTTTGTGAACTGTGAATAGTCTGTGGCCATTACCTACTAGAAGCCAGTAGCACCCTCCTTAATGGGACAACCCAAAAGTCTCCAAATATTAACCCCTGGAACCACTTAGTTAAAGTATGATATTTTCCACAACAGACAAAAATACTTTCTCTCTGCATGCATCTTGATACTGATCATTTAAAGAGTAAATTTTTCCCTGCTAGTAATAGGCTAATCACTGCAAGTGCCTTTAAATTGTTTATTATATAGCATATCAATTTCATTCCAGTTTAAACTTTGAAGGGTCATCTTTATTCAACATTCTATAGCTTCTATTCTAGAAAATTGAGTGGAACCATTTAATTAAGATGTCAGCTTAAAAAAGTGCAAGATTTTGTTATTATAAAAAGTTTCCATGTTTAGCAATTAAGATTAACTTCTTAACTAATTAACATGCAATAAAAATATGCAGAGTGAAGTTTCATTTGAAATGGCCTTTGTTTCCTTCAGCAGACTTAGTTTCTATAGTTATAGTGAATTTCTGTTTGTGACAGTGAAGCAGAAAAACCAGGGCTAAGATCCAAAAGCGCTATCAGCCCTCCCTGCCTTTTGTTTTCTTGCAGGCAAAGGGAGCATTCATATCCCTATATGTGTTTCCAACTCTGATGCACTTTAAAAACATCATGTGTGAATCGAAAGAACGACTCATTTGTTTTCTTTTTGTGTGATCTCATATTTAATTTAATCTCCAGAGCAGTAGATCAATAGTTATGTGCCGAGAAACTGCTTTTCAGTCATGCTGTGGAGTATGAAAAACATGGAGAAATCAATTTCCTTTTCCTGTTTGAGGAGACTGGGTGCCTGTTGTCTTGCCCACGGCAACTTTTTATATAAGTTCTCTAAATGCTGGACATTAGAAGTAAATAGTATACTCAGAATGAGGCTGCTTTATATGTCATCGCTCCCACTGTTACTAGTGAATTATTGTGTTCTATGTGTGAAATGAGCACTGGTTGAAGTAAGTTTGATATGAATTCTCTGGAAGTTTAACACCTAAAATTTTGCATGAAAATGATTAAGTGTATGCAAGATTTTGAAAAGTGGAAGAAACAGACTGTCTGTTAAGAGGCAAGAGCAGTAGTATCCAGTTCTACCTGTTTAATTGAACTGTCTATCAAACTCTTTGTTAAGTATTTTTGACCTTCTAGGTAATTCATACCTTGTCTGAATCTTCATATTTTAAGTCAAGTTATTGACAATGTCTTATCATTGTACTTTTTGTCTTTATGTTCACTTGGCAAAACCTGTAAGAGTCAGTATTTTTAATCATTCCATTTTTGGCTGCTGTTTCTTCAGTTATTGTTAGAAATGTTCCTAAACCAAGATGGGGATGTGGGGAAAAAAGTACTGTTTAGAAAATAAGACTGAGATCACTGTACATCTATACTTCTGTGTCAGGTGGTCAGAATAATATCCCAAGGAAAATTCATAGACAGAGATACTGTCATCATAACCAATAAATATTAAAAATAAATAAACCTATTAGCCAAGAGTTAAAAAAAGAGCAAGAAAACAAGTATATATAAATAACAACAGGAGTCAGAACTTAATATATGTAAGAGTGATATATCAGAAAAGAATTGAAAATGAAATCCAAGATCTTGTTCTTTGATTAAACAACAAAAATAGATAAACCTTTGCAAGAATGATGGAAAATAAGATTATTATATACACTAAAAATGTAAAGGGAATCTGTCAATGAATGCAGATGTTTTCTAGGAAATAACATATGAAGTCTATGAGAAGAGTGGAAAATCCTGATAAAATGAATGATTTTCTTGGAAGTTATAAGCAGTCAGAATGGGCTCAGAAGTACGGACCCATTCTAAGTGCCATAGAAGAAATGAAAAATTTGAAAGAACTCTTGTTTCCCAAAAATACATGATTCAGATTCAACTCTGATCTGATTTCAAATATCTGTAAACACTGATGATGTTAGAAATCTTTCTTTAAAACAAAGGATATCTTTCTATACTGTTTTCAAGAGGGTAATATGAGGGCAGGAAAAATCAATGCCATGAATCAGCACTTGAAAAAGAACCTATTTGATAGCTCCTATGAAAATAGATTTCAAAGCTTAAGCGGGTGAGGGACAGCAATTAAGCCCTGGAGCATACTATAAATTAACAACTGAATTTATCAAGGGAGTGGGTTTCCCTTGGAAAGATGGAAAGATGTACATTAATATAATGCACCAAGTTGTAAAACCCTGGGGTCAGTATAATAGACTGAAAAGGCAGTTGACCAAGTTCAACAGCAGTTATTGATCAGATTTTCAGTAAACTAGACATAAAAGGATCCTTTTATGAGATGACACGTTGAATTGAAAGTGGCTCACTAGACCCATGTAGCCACTTTCCCATCAAAATAAGGGAGAAGACAAGGGTCCTGGTCCATTCCCACTATGATGTCACCTGTTCTGACAGCAAAGCCACAGTCTGGCTGCAGTCAGACAAAACAGTGTTGCAGATGAGCCCACAAGAAGACCCAAGATTGAGGAAGCATGTGCTAACCATCAAGACACACTCATTGCTCATCCAGGCTGGTGGCATAGGGGTGCTTTGTACTTTTCTCTTTTTGCTTTTCTGTATTTTCTATGAAGAACATTAGTTACTCTTCAATTTTTTGAAAATGAGAAATCGTAATTCAAAAGAGGTTTTCTCTTTTCAGATGAGAGGCTTGCACGGGCTAAGGCGGCATTCTACTGTCTTCATAAGTGACAAAGTCAAAAGCAAAAGAGAGACAGCTGGCGCTCTGGCCAGGCGAGAGACTGTGGGAAAGCTGACTGGACTCCTGTCTCTGCCCTGGCCTTGCTCCCTGGAGTAAGTGATGGGCTTTGTTATCACCCCTCTGTTGGCTTTTCCTTCCCTGCTGGCTTTATCTGGCCTAAGTTTCCGAGATAACCTCATCCAGTCTGACTTTGTTTTCCAGGGTTAGTGAGGTGAGCTCGTCCTTCTAGGAAATTTCCACTTCACCTAATCCTGAAATTGCTACAATGAGGGGGCTGAGTTTTGGCTGCCTCCCCTGCCCTCTGGTGCAGCTTTTCAGGACCCTGCCTTTGGGGCCAGGTGAAGGAGAGGAGAGCACTGCTTGCTCCAGTGGAGCTAGAGATCAGAAATGGCTGTCTGGGCTGAAAGGATGCGACAGCCCCTCAGAGTGGCGCCCAGGGCTGTTGCTACTTTTCTCTTTGTTTCAAAAATCCGGTGGTTCTAGTTACCGCCAGACTCATCCACAGTGTCATTTTGTTCACTCCTGGTTTTCAGGCACCAAGGTGGGGTTGAGGTGGGGTTGGGGACGTGAATTCACAGAGGCAGTGGGGTGGCGCCGGAAGGCCCCTGTTACAGCAAGCCCACGGGGGACGGTTCTTTCCCCCTGGTTCTGGGATGCCCAGAGCACATGTGAGGCTTTGGGGCAGTTTCTGCTTTGACCAGTGATGACCTAGGCACCGTGCGTGTCAGGGTGCAGTTGGCATTCCAGTGTAAGTGACCAGGCTGGCAGGGTGACCATCGCTCCATCGCCACCAGTGCCTCGCTGGCCGGTCTTTGCTTTCCTCCCGAGGGGGAGGAATAGCAGCGGCGGCGTGAGGTGTTGTGTGGAGGGTTGGAGAAAGTACCCAAGCAAGGCCCTGTGCTGCTAGGCCGCTCCTCACTCCTGTCTTGCGGCCACCCTGCCGAGGGCCAAGGCCCTGTCTACTTCCCTGAGCTGAGTCAAGAGTTCGGGCCCCATTTCAGGGGTCCCAGCACCTCTGCCTCGTGGCCACCATGCTGCTCAGTGCAGAGAGAACATCGCCACGAGCACAGAATGTTCCATTGGGCAGCGTGCTCCACAGCGTGAACTTTGCTTCTCCACAACCCCAGACCTCAGGGCTGAGCACATCCATTGCCTTAGAAGAGAGGCTCTGCTCAGCTGTACTCCCTGCAGGGCGTGAGTCAGGTGAGGCATTTCAGAGGGCCAGGGGTGCCTGGGCCCAGACAGACAGAGGAGTGGTGTTGGTTTCCCCAATTAAGATAGCTTATCTGTGAGCCAGGTATTTGAGCCCTGAGAAGATGGAAGGTTCCTGACAAGCCCACCAGAGAGGACTCTTCCCAGACAGCACCAGGGCGGGGCAGGGGAGGATGCCAACTTTGAGCCAGCAGAGGAGACATTCTTTGCAGGTAGAGTTTGGGAAGGACAGCTAATCTGTTTTCCAAACAGACTTTTGTAAATAACTGAGGGAGATGGGGCTGCTTCCGTCAAAGTATTAACCCAAATGGTGGGGGTTAATCATTAAACCTTTTAGGTGGTGGCTAGCTGGTTTCTCTGATATTCTAATCTGGGTCACAGAATGGCTAAGGCTGCTTTAAGTGGAGGGTGGACTTTTTCCCCTCCTTTTGCGTTGTGTTTTCCACTCTGAAAGAATGTTGTGGCTGCTCTTTTTTGTGGTGACTGCTGTTCACACTGAGCTCTGTCAACCAGGTAAGTAGCCTTGAAACTTAAAAATAGATGAACAGTTTTCTAAACAATTGGCACATCTTTGACTGAAAACCTTTTTAATTTTGTAAATCTGGGGACGTGTTGTGTGTTGAAAAGTGAGCCCGTGACTGTTTTATGAGTTTGAAAGAAAACTTGAAACTAGTTAAGATGATTGTAGTTCTAGTATTATGGGGCAGTGGACTGGTAATTTTGTTGATTTGAGTTGCGTGAAATACTATGATTTATCACACCGTGGGCAGATTTTATAACCATGTCCTGCTGTCTCTCTTCTTTCTGGCAGATGCAGAAAATGCTTTTAAAGTGAGACTCAGTATCAGAACAGCTCTGGGAGAGAATGCAGTAAGCGGAGAAGTTACATGTTCATTTATAATTCTGTTTGCTAATATGTCTGCTTTCTCTAATCATCAGTGTTCTGTTACCCTAATTTGTATGGATTAGATAGACCTCAAATCTGACTGTTCGTTAATGTGAAAAAAAACTTACAGTAAAATAGAAATTGATACTAAAGTTTAATTTTCCCTAAAGTCATTAATCTGCAGTGAATGCTAAGCAGTAGGTAAAATTTTGGATCAGACAAAACAGTTCAGCAAACTTGAACGAAGCCATGGTGCCTGAGTTAGGCGCACAGGTCTGGATTGGATTTGAGCTCATCACTTTTATGTCATTTGAATTTGTCCGCCCTACTTTGCCCATCACTGAAAAGGGGGCTTGGATCTACCCACATACTTCTTTCTTAGCACAAAACACTTCCAGTTCTAATGTGAGGTTTCTTCAGCTCTTCACAGTAACAACATAAAATGTAGCCTTAAGAAGCTGAAGCAGAATAATATTCCTATAGAGACTATTAAATTCATATGATGGCTTGCAGAGTGCTGGCTTCACCTTCCCAGTGTGGTCTGTGTCTCCAGCAGAAGGTGATACTAAAACGCCTCTGGCCGGAAATCAGGAGAGAGCCCTGGAGCTTCAAGGCGTGGTGTCTGCAGGCCCCTACCACCAGCAGCGCTGCCACACTCGCCCAGGGTGTAGTGGTTGTTACGACAACCACTTTCTGAGACCCTCCAAGCACTTTGTTCCTTCACATCAACTCATTGTACCCTCTCAACAACCTTTTGCGGAAGGTGGCACAGCTACTCCCATTCCCGGTGGGTGGATGAGAAAACAGGTGCAAAGGAATTAAGTGACCTGCTTAAGGTCTCAAGGCAGCCAGTGGCAGAGGTAAGATCTCAAGCCTGGCGGAAGCCTGCTTCAGAACCCACTCTGCTCTGGCAGGCAGGGTTGCTAAAGTAGGCTCCTCTGAGATCAGGGACCATGTTGGCTGCAGGAGGTGCACTGGCAGCTGAAATCAGCTTGCCCGCTCTCATGGAACTTGTAGTGCAGACCACATGCACTCACGGAACTTGTAGTGCAGGAGAATGGGTTGTCCACTACACATTCAGCAGGCCTCATGGAAATGTACAGTCTTGACAGCTATTACAGGAAGAAGTCCTTGGGGCTCTGGCCTCACAGGGGGTGCAGTGCCTACACACTGTGAGCACCAAAGCATGAGTCGATGTGAACCCGAGGATAAAAGAAAACAGGGCAGAGGAACACTATGTGCAGATGCTTGTTACAGTGAGGAACTTGACGAGAAAGAGGGGTGGAAGGAAAGCTAAGGTGTCTGGAACTGGAGCGCTGAGGACACACATGATGTGATGGGCTTAGAGAGAAAGGTGAGGTCAGCCAAAGACTATGCAGACTGGGTTAGGGGGTTTGATCGCCTTTAAAGCAAGTGCAAGTTTTGCATCATGCTAGGATTGATATTTGGAAGACAGTTTGGCCACAGTGTGGAACACAGATTGGAGTGAACCAGAGCAGAGAGGAGGCATCTCTGAGGAGGCGATTGGAATAGTGGAGGCGAGACATGGCGTTCAGTTGCCTGCAGGGTCTGGTGGAAAGAGCAAAGTGAAGGGATTGGAGGGTTCGAGGGTCACAGGGATGGTATGATGAAGCAGGGCAGCAGAGGGGCGAGGGTGAAATGCTTTTCTCAGTGCAGCTGGTAGCTAGTTCTCCCTGTGAGTCAGCAGCCAGGTGAAGGCAAGAAAATCATGACTGTAATTTGGGTTTATTGAGCTTGAGTTCTTGTTGACAAATAGGCGAGGGCAGAGCTGGCTTGCACTAAGATGGTAGTGGAAGCCTGGAGTAGATGACAGTGCTGAGGGGACAGGTGTATTAGAGCGTGGCTAGGACAGGTGTAGTGCACACCTGAGGTTCTCTACAATTTGAAGCCCTCGTAGAAGATGGTGACTGGCAGTGTTTTGTTTTTTTTTATAGTTTATTTTTACATCATTTTGTACATTTTTTTCATCTCAATTTTAATCCCCGTGGATTTTCCATCACCGAGTCACCCATGTGCCATCACCATAGTCCTGTGCACTTCCCTCCCCCCCCTTTGATCCCATTCCCACTGACTGGGAGTATGTTGTAAGAGAAAAGGGAAGAAGGTGCTTGAAGATGGAAGCAGTGTTCTTCAGAGGCCAAACTGAACTGTGCCCCTTGTGCAGCACCGTGGCAGCCGCTGGGGGCCTTAGAGAGAGCTGTTGTGTGGAGCCGTAGCACAGGAGGACAGTGGAGGGGTGAAGAGTAGGGGTCCAGTGCCAGTAAAGGCAGATGGTGCGGAAAGCTCCTTTCAGTATTTTGGCTCTGAAGGGCGGTGAGAGGTAACACTAGGCTGACGGGGGAGGCGGAGTGAGGTGATTTGGTTTAGCTATTGCTGTAACAGGAAAGACTTGAGCATGGTCCAAAGTCAGGAGCCAGACTCCAGTCAGCGCTGAATAAACAGGAGAGGGCAAAAGGAAAGCCTTCCTAATGGACCACAAGGCCATTTACAGGGGGGCAAAAACTTCCCCAGGGCCTGCTGGGAGGATGTGGAGAGCATGTGCATGTCTGGAGGATGCTTTGTATTTGCTGGGGATAATGGGGGCACTTAAGAGAATGAAGTAAGAACATCAGTGACAATGAGGTGTTGGGGAAAGCTTTGAGATTTGGGAGCCATGAACAAGGTGTAAAGTAGTTGTTCTGAACCTTGAAAGAGCTGACAGAGAACTGTCAGGGTTAGGGCTTCCTAGGCCATTTAGTAGTCATGAATTTTCTTAAACCAGCAAACCCTGTTTTGTGACTTCCTCCAGTTACATTTGATTACTCAGCTCACCGGAGGCAGCTGAAACAAAGTGCCACAGACCTTGTGCTTTGAACAATAGCCATTTATGTCCTCCCCACTCTAGAGGCTGCAAATCCCAGATCAGAGTGTCAGCAGGGTTTGTTCCTTCTGAGGTCTCTGGGGGAAGGATTTGTTCCAAGCCTTTCTCCTGACCTGTAGATGTTTTCTGCTCCCTCTCTCCTTGTCTGTGTCTAACCAGCTTCTTACAAGGATGCCAGTCCTGAATGATTGCAGTGTAACCTAACCACATCCTGAAGACTATGTTCAAGTTCTGTCACATTGCAAGGTTCTAGGGATTAGGAGTTCAACTTATAAGTTGTGGGTGGGATGGGGAATGGTGGCGGTGTGGAGGGGGGAATTCATCCCATAACATGCACACATACTCAAGTTTCCAGTTAAGAAAATAAAATTGTACCAGTGTTCATAAAGAAAAGGAAACCAAGAGGGAAAGTGAGTTTACGAGAGAAGCAAGAAAGAGGGGAAGGGACTGTGTATGTGTCCAGGAGACCTGTCTAAATGCCCTCTGACTGACTGGTAATCCAGGCTCTGAGGAAGATAATGCAATGGAAAACGTAGCACACTTGAATGATAGAATGTCCAGGAAACCCTCTCCTGAATGGTATTGTGACAGGATTTTTCATGGTCTCTGGTAGTATGTGTGTGCGCATGCAGCCCACAAAAATGTGTGTGTGTGTGAAAGAGAGATGTGGGGAGAGAGAGAACCTGTCTCATGGCCACAATTCAATTCCAGTGGACCATTGTCACCCCATATGCCTCTTCAGGTTTCATTTTCTGTTTTACTCCTCTTTCAGTATGCCTGGGATACAAGTGAGGAATATCTCTTCAGAGCAATGGTGGCTTTCTCCATGAGAAAAGTTCCCAACAGAGAAGAAACAGAGTAAGTAAACAGTGAAAAATCTTAACTGATTATTTGCAGTATCTGAGACAGTTGAAAATAATATGTTAACCTATTTTTAAGGGATCCATATTTTAATTTGACATTAAAGAAGGCCTTTGTAACTCAGCTGACAATTTATATAGGTTCCAATTCTGCTTTTGTCTATAGATACTGTGAAGGGAAATATTTTTTAAAAGTTGTAGTCATATGTCACAAGCCTTCTACATTTCTATTATATGTTTCCTTTGCGGCTAGCTAGTGAGATAGAGAGAGAGAGAGAGGGAGAGAGACAGAGAGACAGAGAGAGAGAGATGATCGATAGATCAGGAGGGAGAGAGAGTGCGCTGTACTCATCGCATCAGTCTGCTCAGCCGCCATAACAGCAGCACAGACCGGGAGGTGCACACAGCAGACATTTATTTCTTGTGGTTCCAGAGGCGGGGGTGTCCACAGCCAAGGTGCCAGCAAGTGGGCTTTTTTTCAGACGCTGTTCTGTGCCTGGCAGGCGTGGGCCTCACCGTGCGCCCGAGACTTCTTGGCAGGGGCAAGGGGAGATGGACAGAGGCCTCGCATCTCTCTCTTTGTGACCTCGTTTAACCTAATGACCTCCCTAGACTGCTGTCCCCAGATGCAGTGGTGCTTGTGCTTAGGTCTTTGAGTTATGATTTGGGGCAGGGGGCCCATGTGCGGACTATTCAACCCATTTTGAAAATATCCTAACTGTACAGGTTCATCCTGCCTTGGTGTCTGCCATAGTCCTTTGTTTTCTTAAAAAGGTTTGGTACACTTTTTTATTCAGTAGTTTCCTATTTTTATCACTTCTTCCAGAGGAATTCTTTATTTGTGATGTTTCCTTTCAGCCCTATTTGTGCTCAAGGCAGCACTCCTGGTTTTTCTCGGCACCGCCCTCTCTTCACCTTGAGAGACTAAAAGACAGATAGGATTGGTGAGCTGGAAGGAGAAAAGGGGGTGGGGATTCCCCTCTCCTTAGGAGCCCCTCAGGAAGCAGCATTTTCTAGGCCGTCCCCTACACGAGAGCACCTGCTCGGCTGGCAGGCACGGTGCCCATGATGCCAGGTGCCCGTGATGCTGGGGGCCCGTGATGCCATCCGTGCTGTTGGGGCTGCACTGCGCGGGATTGGCAGGTGTTGGATCGCTGAGCTCGGCTATGGCTGCGACACTAGGACTTTAGCTTAATTTAGGGCTGTGTTTTACTTAGGAAGGAAATTTGCCTCCTGATTAAACCATACCCTCCAACACGGATGTTTATTTTGATCTCTATTGGCCTCATTATTTTGTCTTAATGCTGTGATGGGCCGGAGCCTGCAGAGAGGGTTGCTATATCCTGTCTTCCTGAGAGCCGCAACACCTGATGGTTGGGTTGGGACTATAAAGAATGAAACAGGAGTGGCATGGCGGGGGGAGTGAATAGATGATGTATGTGTTTGTGTGTACACACGTATAGACACATATGCACACGTATAGACATGTATACACATATCTTTTAAATAGATAATATATCCATGTGGTTCAAAAAATGAAAAGTAGGTATACAGTAAAGCAAAGTTATGTCCTAAGATAACTACATTCCTATGTTATAGAATTTTAGAAAAAGTAGATCTGTTAGTACCCTAAACCTTTAAACCACAGCATTCCTTCCACAACTACATACAGTATCTTTTAAAACAATCTATACAATATAGGTGATTGCATTATAAAAAATTGAGAAGAAAAGTATAAGAAAAAAGCTGATCACCTATCAATAGTAGCTCCTCAGATAGTCTCTGCTCTTTGGCTCTTCTTTTTCTGCAAGTTTTATACATTGCTGTGCTCATTCAACTACTGACTTTTCCTCTAACTGCTAAAATTCTCCTTGTAGATGACCATGTTAAGTCATATGTGAGGAAAAAATCTCACATTTCAGGCTGTCATGGGGAAGTTACCTTTTTTTTTTTTTGAAAGATTTATTTGTGCATACAGAACTGGGGTACAGGCCAGAGGCTCAGGGGCGGCGAGAGGCTTCACCAGAGACAGAGTGGGGAGCAGAACAGGCA